GCATCTTGTCCTTCTCCTTCTCCCCCAAATCAGTCACAGGCTGTGGCACACAAGCTGCCCTTAGTAAACATGTTATTGAATGAAGTTAACTCATCCCAGGTTCAGGTCTACTGCTGATATTCTCCATGCCCTTGGATGACTTACTTTACCTCTATGAACCTCAGTTGCCCCATGTACAAAGATAATAACCCTCAACTCAACGTAATTGTTCCAAAGAACAAAACAAGATGATGAACATGAATCCATTTGGCAAGCTTTAAAGCACTTTGAAAATGTAGGGCATGAAAGATTAGAAGACTACCTCTGTGTTACTTCTTAAAAAAATACAAAGTGAAGCCAACTTTTTCCTTAACATCCTCATGCTCAGTAAAGTAGGTAATCTATTTGTGAGACTATACACTTTTCCATGAAATGCAATTTAATTACTTTGTTTATGAAAAAGATATATGTCTTTCCTGATTTGTTCCTCATGGAAAAGATATTTCCAAAATGGAACTATTGTTTAAAAAAGCCTCAATTGCTCTGCACAGTGTTATGCTTCCTACAGACACATATTAATAAGAAAGCTTCTCTGAATTTGATAGGGACCTCAAGTGTTGCTGACCTCCCAGAAAACAACACTTTGAAGAGGCATTACTCACCTGACATAGAGCTAGAATATTTTGGTATGTTTTGAACATGTTGAGAATGTAGGTCACCTTGCCTTGGCCATTATGACAGCATGATGTCTAAGGGCAAGAAGAAACTCTAGGATATGAGTAAGCAGAAAAGGTAGATATTTTGGTTATCTGCTTCTACAGGTGTCCTCTAAAAGGGCATATTCTGTCTACACCCAAATCTGGACAAACCATGACAATATTTAGTAGCTCTTGTACTTTCTGCCTTTTTAACATCAGTCTTTCTTAATAAACAACTTCATACATCTCACTAAGTACCTATTCTCTTTTAAACTTTCAGAATAGGTGCCTTTGTATCACCAGACAGAATCGTACTGCTCAGCAGAAAGCTGTACCATTTTCTCTGTGAACTGAGTAGAGAAAGTATAGGTGTGTGTATGTGCAATTGTGTGCATGTTTGTGTGCGTGTGTGTATAGGTGTCCAGAAAGAGGCCAGAATTGCTACTATATATTTTTCTAATCTAGTTTTATAAGACTCTAAACATTTGGCTGACTAAAGCTCTGGTTTTGTAAATCAGGATTGATTTGCAAAGGTCTAGACCAAGAGAGAGCACATCTGGGAACTTAGAACAGAAAAAGGAGGCAGATGTTACAATAGCTTGAAAGCTAAAGTAAAATGGAGAGTCCAGGACAACCTAGACCAGAGTCTAAGCTTAGAGTGTTGTGGTGGAGCCACTGAGCTCATCAGGACAAAAACTGAGCTGTTAGCCTTATTCCTGGGCCAAAAGAAGATTCTCAGGGAGTGTGGAAAATTAAAGGTCTGCATAAAGGCCTGGTTAGTATCTTGAGCCCAAAATTATACCAAGTGGCTTGAGGCTAGCTTATTGCTAAAATTTTTTATTGCAACTTTTTCTAGGTCCAAACCATTATTTCTGGATTTTACTTCACACTAAACTGGTAACAATAATGTATAATGGCTTAGTTGAATAGTCTTAACTCTAGAAGCTGATTAGAGTCATTAGAAAATAGAAATGCCTTGGCCTTAGTCTGGACCAAATGAATGAGAATATATGGGTGAGGGAAGCAGGTCATGCATGGTTTTTAATTTTTTTCCTAATAATTCTAGTGTACAGGCAGGTTGAGAATCATACATTCCTGTATGATGGCTTAGATGAGTGTTCTTACAAGTTCTTTAGATCAAATACATATAAAACCTCAATAAGTACATATGTACATGAATGTACATGTGTTGTCTTCTTCTAGAAACCAATGAGAAGTCAGTTCTTGGCAGTGGGGAAAGCCTGGATATATCCAAACAGATAGAGACCATGCAGTAAAAATGCAATATATTTGAAGATGAAAAGGAAGAAATAATTATTTAGGAAGTATTGAGTCTATTTTAATGGTTATGGAACATTTGACAACATAATGAGTGTTAGCTGCACATCATGAGTCATGTAATCAATATCACTAAATTGTATGTATAAACGCTGAATAAGCACTTGGGATATATATTGTTGTTGTTAAGTGCCGTCAAGTCAAGCACAACTCATAGTGACCCCATGAACAAAAGACCTGAAGCTCTATCATCTATCTATCTATCTATCTATCTATCTATCTATCTATCTATCTATCTATCTATCATCTATGAGTTCTGGTGGCTTAATGGTAAGGACTTGTGCCACCAACTCAGAGGAACACAGTTTGAACCACGAGATGCTGTCCCTCAGGAGAAAGATGAGCAATCTTGTACTATGTGATTTATTGCCTCTGAAACCTCACCGGAGGTTCAGCTAGGAGTCAGGTCTAACTGGACAACAACAATAAAAAGTAACATAATTAAGCATTGATGAGAATGCTCTCTCCTTGGTCTTTATCTGATAACTTTAAAAGTTTGCAATTAATAAGTTATTGCAATAGTTTGACAGTTCACTTGACAGCTCTGAAATAACATTCTTGGATTGTAGACGACAATCTTCTTCTGAAACCCAAAATGCTGCTTCTCAGAAACTTAGAACATTAGCTAAGTATTTATTCCATAAAAATTGTGATGTATAAATTTTATAGGCTCCACAAATGGAGAAATTGTGTGCAAGTTAATTTTATGACCCAATCTTGACTCCTGCCACAAAGAATTGACCTATTCTAGGCCATTTTTCCTGTAGTGAAGTTCAGCTACATTATGACAGGAATAGTCTGGACTTCAGGGGTAGGTTTGGAAGGAAAGGGCCAGGGTGAAAAAAAAATCCCTCCAATCTGCAGACCATCTAAGTCTGCTTTTTTCCTTCCAGGGAACCTGAGGCTGTAGGTAAAATGAAACCCCTTTGGTGCATGGTGAGAAATAGAAGGACTAATAAAAAAAAATAAGTCAATTCTTCTTTTATCCAGAGCATGTGGCACCTGAAACCCATTTCTTTCAGAGTCTTAGATGGAGTAAATGTTTAGCTCTTGCCCAAGAACAGCTACTGGAAATTCTGGTTGATTGGGAAAAGAAAAAAGTTGATTATTGTGTTTTACTGACAAAATAAAACACCTTTAAACCAAAAGGATGATTTATCTTGGCTGAAAATAAAACTCCTGCCTACTGAAATCTGGTGCAGCTGAGTTATCACTATTTTCATCCTGTAATTTGTTTTATAGGGTACTAATTAACAGGACAAAGTCTGTTGCCAGGAAAGAAAATCACATTTTGCCATTTTCTTCTTTTCCAGCAAGATACAGGCCTAATCTTTAATTAAAGTGCAAATTCCAAGGGCACTCGCAGCCATGGAAATTGGGAAACATTGAACTAGGGAGAAAAGCCAGTGATGAAACTTGCTGTGAGGTAGAGCTGAAGAGAAACTGTGGGAGAGGGAAGGATGGAGAAAGCCATTGCACCGGTAACTTCAAAGTGAAGATGGCATCGCTCAAATGTTCCCTCCTTAGTAATCTTTTCTGCTTCCCACGACTCTCTGTCTTCTGGCTCCACTGAACTGATGCTCTTCCATGATATTGCTGTTGTTAGTTGCTATGGAGTCGATTCCGACTTTATGGGGACGCAGATGTACAAAGGAGAGCTTGAATAAGATTTTCAAGACTGTGACCTTTCAGAAGCAGACCTTCAAGCCTGTCGTCCCAGCGCCTCTGGATAGTTTCTTTTAACCCAGAAGCCAAGTGCTTTATGTTTGGTACGACCTAGGGACTCTTAACACTTTCCATAAAGACCTTTAAAAGTGGCAGTCTCCTCGAATCTGTGGTTTTAAGGAGCATTCATAGTTCATTCCTGTCCAACTACAGTTCGACCACCCCTGGGTCCCGCTGGTCTCTGACTCTGGACTTCACTGCAAGTGTCGTTCATTCCTTGCTCTGTCCCTCCCAATTCACCCGCCTCGTTCAGCCTCAGGGTCTTTCCTCAATCTCTTTCTCCCTTCTTCCTTCCTCTTCATCCTTTTATTGGAGGTTCTGGGCATCTACGCCAGCTTCTCCTTGCTCCAGCAGCCTTCTAAGATTCTAAGACTAAGGGAGAAGAGCTGGGGGCTAGGCTGGGCGGGGAGCCATCCAGTGAGGATCTCGCAGCCCAGAGCCATGCCTGACGTCACTGCGCTCTGCCTGTCAATCTCTCTGTGCGCAGCCCGCAGCCGCCTTGCTGCCACCTTGTCTCTCACTCGCGGTGGCGCGGGCTCAGCGACAGGCGCCCCGAGCTCCTCTCCGCCTCTCGAATAACCGCTCGGTCCGCCCTGGGGTGCGCAGCGCCCGGCGCTCCTCCACGGTTGCCCATGACCAGAGATTCTCTGAAGCCCTGACTCCCCAGGTGAGCGATCAGCTGCCGGGCTACCGGGAGGAACTTTGAGAATGAGGAGGGGAAGGGGTGAAAAACAGCAAGGGGACAGTTTCTTCCAAAAGCTAAGAGAAGGGGAGTCACATCTTACTCCATATCACGACCACACCCCGAAACATACCAGCATCTTGGTCTCTGTTAGTGATTTCTGCCGGCTGTAGAGGTGCTAAGCTCGCCTCCACAACATCAGCAACTTCTCTTTAAGCACCACGGACAGCGGTCCTGGCGGGCTGACTGCTCTGTGTGCGCGGCTATTTGTGCCTATGCAAGCACAGTAACGGGACTGCCTTCGTGCATGTGAGTGCATGTTATTCATATGCCCTTTTAGGTTGAAACTCAGGTGTCCGTGTGGTAACGTGTAGGCATTTCACTCACTCACTCACTCACTCAACAGGTAGCTATTTCTCCTTGGCTCAGACTTGGTCCCTGCTTCCCTGGCTCTGCTCTGGAGTGCGAGGGGCGACTGACAAATGGCACTGGCATCTGGGCATGGGGAAGTTGCCTGCAGCCTGATCTGCAACCCTAACAGACTCTTTCCCTCTCCACGCAGGGTGCAGCGTCCAGCCAGAATGAACGCGAGCGCTTCCTCTCTCAACGAGTCCCAGGTGGTGACAGTGGCGGCTGAGGGAGCAGCAGCGGCCACGGCAAGGGCGTCTGACACTGGAGAATGGGGGCCCCCAGCAGCCGCAGCAGCACTGGGAGGTGGTGGTGCTGCTGCAAACGCATCGCTGGAGCTGTCTTCGCAGCTGCCCGCGGGTCCACAGGGGCTGCTGTTATCGGCAGTAAATCCATGGGACGTGCTGCTGTGTGTGTCAGGGACAGTGATAGCGGGTGAGAATGCACTAGTGGTGGCGCTTATCGCTTCCACCCCTGCGCTGCGCACGCCCATGTTCGTCCTGGTGGGCAGCCTAGCCACGGCTGACCTCCTGGCCGGCTGTGGCCTCATCCTGCACTTCGTGTTCCAGTATCTGGTGCCCTCGGAGACAGTGAGCTTGCTCACGGTGGGATTCCTCGTGGCCTCCTTCGCCGCCTCAGTCAGCAGTCTATTAGCCATCACAGTGGACCGCTACTTGTCCCTTTATAATGCTCTCACCTACTACTCTCGCCAGACACTGTTGGGAGTGCATCTCCTGCTCGCCGCCACCTGGAGTGTGTCCATAGGCCTCGGGCTAATGCCGGTGCTGGGCTGGAACTGCCTGGCCGAGCAAGCCACCTGCAGTGTGGTGCGCCCACTGACACGCAGCCACGTGGCACTGCTCTCGGCCACTTTCTTCGCAGTTTTTGGCATCATGCTGCATCTGTACGTGCGTATCTGCCAGGTAGTCTGGAGACACGCGCATCAGATTGCTCTGCAGCAGCACTGCCTGGCACCACCTCACCTCGCTGCTACCAAGAAGGGTGTGGGTACGCTGGCCGTGGTGCTGGGCACTTTTGGTGCCAGTTGGCTGCCCTTCGCGATCTACTGCGTAGTGGGCAGTCGTGAGGACCCTGCCGTCTACACCTATGCCACCCTGCTACCCGCCACCTACAACTCCATGATCAACCCCATCATCTATGCCTTCCGAAACCAGGAGATTCAACGCGCACTGTGGCTCCTGTTCTGTGGTTGTTTCCAGTCCAAAGTGCCCTTCCGTTCCAGGTCCCCCAGTGAGGTCTGACCTTCCCTGCTCCCACCCAACAACATATCCCCAATCATTAGTGAGGTTCCCATTGCCTACTGATGAACTTGTGACTCCACTGGTGTGAAATCTTACTTTGGAAAGTAAGACTGCTAATGAAAAACAATCAAAAGAGAAAGCTAAATAAACCGCAACAAACTCAGAAGGACCAAAAGGCTTGTTGGCACTTTACATATACAGTGTATACATGTGTACATATATATACAAATATTTGTATCTTCTGGAAGTATTCAGAATGTGGAGCTTCCTGTTCTGTGAAACCAACAAAGATATGGTTGTGTACTCAAATTGTACATCACATTTGTCAAGTGAAGACATTCCAATACTGCTTAATGATAGCACTTTATTTTTAGCTGCTGAACTGCCAAAACAGTGTTGCCATTTCCAAGAGCAGGGGAAAGTTATAAAAAGTGTATTTTTATTGTATGTAATAGAATATTTTGCTGCACATGCACCAATAAAATTTCATATTTTGTATACAAATAAACACATTCTAAATATAATTTTTGGTGTGTAATTGCCTCTAGAATGATTCTTTCAAAGTTGAATTATTACAGCATTTAACTTAAAGGTGCATTTTATGTCATCTCCCTCCTGAAAAAAGAGTAATATAAAATTGTATTTGTAAATTGTTTATAAAGGTTCATTGAAATATCTAATCCAGGCCACACTTAGGGGGCAGAGAGGGAATGATGTGTTAATGTGTCAGTATTAACTGACACCAATTATTTGTTGGTGTTACTACTACAAATTCATCTCTATCTTTGGTAACTGAATATGTAAGACAAGTTCCAGAAAGAATCTGAAACCATTTTCATATCAGCACATGAGCAGTTGAGACTCCAAAAACCACAATGTTCAGAAGTAATTTTTTTCAGTCAGGAAAGAATTTTAATTATTGAAAATTCATATTGATTTAGTATATTATTGTCAAGGCCAAGCCTCATAACAAAATTTCACAATATTTTACAAAATTAATAAGTTGGAGAATTTAGACAGAATTCCAATATATATTGTGATCATGAAATAAAGTAAAGCTAGGCCAGCAGCCTCTTTGGAGACCTACTCATCTTCAAACTACAGGCCATTAACAACCCCAAGTACTAAATATTCCCAAATGCAGCTGATGGCTATTGTGTATATTGTATAATAAGCATCATAGTTAAATATTCCTCCCTTCTCCTCATTAAAGAATGCTGTGACAATAAATAAGGATAATGTGTGTAAACTTGATCTGAGCACCTATGAAGAAGTGTATACCTAAGTACAAGTAATTATTACTCTTAAGTCTTAGAAAAATGTGCACAAGAAAACACATTCACATATATTACAAATATATATCTAATATCTAGTAAAAAACTCTTCTAAAGTTGAGGATATACCCATCAATAAAATAGGAAACAAGATTCTATACTCATGGAGTTACACTGTAGAAGATGCACTACAAGTAATAAACATATGATGTCATATTAAAGGGGGGGAGTGAGGGAAAAGGATGACAAACTTCACTTCTTTGATGAGCATGACCAGGAGTGGTCTCTGGGAAGTAATATCAACAAAGTGAGGGTTCGAAACATGTGAGAATCTGGAAGAAGAGTTTCCCGGGCAGAAAGGAGAGCAAATGCACAGACTTTGAGGTGGGAGTATTCTTGGTATGTATATTCAAGGACAGTGAAAAGATCAATATGGCTAGACTCAATGGAGTAAAAGGAAGAAAGGTATGAGAGAAAGTTGGAGAGGAAGCTAGGGCCAGATCATGTGATGTTTTACAAGCTATTATAAGAGCTTTATAAACCATTACAAGAAGTTGGGCTTTTACTGAGTGACACGGAAATAGCATGATCTGACAATATTTCTGAAAGCTAACTTTGGCTACTCTATAGGGAATAGACACTAGGGTGGGAAGAGAGGGAGCAGGAGAGGGTGATCTGTAGCCACATTCCCGTGAGAAATGTTGGTGGCTGGCTTGCAGTGTGGTAACAGTGGTGGAGACAAAGAAAAACAGTTTCTAAAATTTTGTTGAAAGAAAATTAGAAAAAGAGTATCAGATTCTTTAAAAAAGAAGTTTAGAGTGACTTCAAGGTCTTCACTCACTTTAATGAAATAGGTGCATGCAGGGGCCTTGGATGAGTAGATAGACTTGGAAAAAGAAATGAGGTACCCTGAGACAAGTGGAAACTGAAAAGATAAATTTTAGACATCTGAGTGGACAGGTCTGTTTATGCATTTATTTATTTAACAAACTGTTCTACGGCACTTACTATGTGCCAGCCACTGCTCTGAGCAATTTACAAATATCATTATAACATTTTGAATCAGTCAGGTCCCAGCAGGAAATAAATGGCACATTCAAACCAGGTGATTGGAGAGAGTTTAATGAAGTCTAATGAACTATTTATAAAGGTGCAAGCATAGTGAAGGGAAACCAACAAGAGTTGGTGAAGTCCCCCATGGCTGACAGCAGCAGGGCTGCTAGGAAGGAACAAGGGAAAGAGCAATTACTGGGATGGAGAAAGGATTGTAACTGCAGGCTGCTCACCATGGCCTGTGGCTTTTAGCAGAGGAAGGGAGGTACCACCAACCCATGACAGGAAGGAGGTTGGGAGAGTAACTAACCAGAGCATCTTCTCCTCCCTTAGCCCATCTCCTGATGATGCATGCCTTTAAAGAATTCCAAATAGACTAGTCCAAGAGTAACATAACTCTGATGCAATCCATGCAGGTCAGCCTCCTGGGAACTAAGCAGAGTGGAGCTTAAAAAGTAGATTAAGAACTATAAAGAGAATACCCAACACCAATGCTTTGAGTTAGTAATGTTATCCCCACTTTACGGATGAAAAAGTAGAGGCATGGAGATGATTACTAAAGAATTATGGGGTTGAAGAGTGAGATCTAAACTGGAATAGTAAGCAGGACATGTAGACAGAGAAGAGAAGGGAAGCAAACTGTAAGTCATAGGCCACTTGATTTAGCAATCAAGAAGAGGTTCAAGCAAAGGGAGGAGAGAAGACAGAGGAACCCAAAGGAACACAGTGATTTAAAACAAAGAAGAAAAAAAAGGTATTTAAGCAAGTGGTAGTCACCTGGGTCAAATGTTACAGAGATGATAAAGAAAATGAGAATTTAAAAGTTATGACAAATGCTGTAGGGTGGAAGTAACTACTGGTGAACCTGACAAAAGACATTTCAGGAGTTTAACAGGAGAAAAGCTTGACTGTAAACTATAGAAGGTACAAGAGAAAATTCATGATGAATGAAGCCTCTAAAAGTTCACAGCAGAACCGTGACCTTTTCAGCACAATAAAACATGCTATGTTTTATAAACATGCCATTTTAATACTGTCTGTAAAATTAGAGCCTGGAAAATCAGCATTATTGTTCATTCATCAAATTAGAATATTCTAAAGAACTAACCTTCATAGACTTTTCATCAGCCTTAGATCCTATTTCAGGACTTGTTAGCATTCAGAACAAATTCAAGTAGATTGAAATTCCAAACATGTGATCAAAAGATGTCATTTCAGAAGTGGAACAAAAATCCAGTATTGCTACACATTTTATAATTACTAAAAAAAATCAATCGCAATCATCATATGAAGAGAGTTGCACACTAGGATAGTAAGATACAGACGATGGGATCTTATTTCAGTCTATATGGTATTACTATTCATCACAAACTACAGTTCTAATTAAGATATTTGAAGAATATAGGATAAGAAGGCATTAAGAATCAATTTGTTAATATCCCTGGATTGCATAATTGCCTCACAGGTTTGACAGAAACCAACTTGATGAAGTGAGATTATAAAACTACGGGTAGTCCTTGAGATATTTCTACAGAGGAATATCATATACACATTTCACTTATTAAATATTAAGAATCTCCTATTGTAAGATCTGGACAATGAATAAATAAGACCTAAGACGTGATACCTATAAATTGTGGTATTTGTGAAGAGTATTGAATAAACTATGGACTGTCAAATGAACAAGCAAATCTCTCTTGGAGGAAATGTAACCAGGGTGCTCCTTAGAGATGATGAAGCATTCTTTCATATGCTTTGAACATGCTATCAGAAGACACTATCCTTAGAAAAAGACATCATGCTTTTGAAAAGTGGAGGGTCAGTGAACGAGAGGAAGCCTGTCAATGAATGAATTGACACTATGACTGCAATAATGGGCTGGGCTTGAGCATGGCAGAAATTATAGGGATGGCACAGGATAGGAGAAGGTTCAGATCTGTTGTTTGTAGGGTCACTATCGTCAACTTGACAGTGGCTAGAAATAACAAAAACAGCACTGGAAGACCCTGTGCTATTTGTTTGAAGTATATAATTTTTTTATAAAGGCAAAATTCAATCAACCATCTGTCAACTGTGTTATTTATTAAGCAGCCTGAATTTAAATACTGTAGTTTATCTTTTCTCCAAAACTTGCCTTCCCTTTCCTTCGTTAACATTTTATTTAATGGTAATGTCATTTATCTAGCTATTCAAGTCAGAAAACTTGCTTTCATTTTTAACCCTTTACTTTTTTTCAAATTTCACATCCAATGTGCTAACCTGCTGGTTTTTAAAAACTTTTTTATTATTATTATTTTATTATTTTTGTGTGAGTGTACAGCAGTACAATCAGAGCAAATGGCTAAAAATTCAAGCTGGATTCAGAAGAGGCCATGGAACAAGGGCTGTCATTACTGATATTAGATGGATCTTAGAATGAAAGTAGAAAATACCAGCAAGTTATTTACTTCAACCTTACTGAAGATGCAGAAACATTTGACTGTGTGGATCATAACAAATGATGAATGATGGTGAGAGGAATAAGATTTCCAGAGCATATAATTGTGCTTATGGACATAAATCAAGACAGTAATTTGAACATAAACTATGCATAGTTTAAAATCAGAAAAGGCATGCATAAAGGTTTCATCTTTTTTCCATACCTATGCAATCTGTTTTCTGAGAACATGATTC